TCTCTCTCTCTTCTTTCTCTTTTCTCTCTCCTCTTTCTTTTCTTTTCTCTCTCTCTTTTCTCTCTCTCTCTTCTCTATCTCTTTCTTCTCATTTTTTTTCTCTCTTTTTCTTCTTTCTCTTTTTCTCTTTCTTTTTTCTCTCTTTCTCTCTTTTTTTCTCTTTTCTTCTCTTCTTCTTCTTTTTTTTTCTCTCTTTTTTCTTCTTTCTCTTTTCTCTTCTCTTTTTTCTCTTCTTTCTCTTCTCTTTTCTCTCTCTTTTTTTCTCTTTCTCTATCTTTTTTCTTTCTCTCTTTTTTTCTCTTTCTCTCTTACTCTTTCTCTTTCGCTCTTTCCTCTTTAGCAAGAGCCTGTGCGACTTTGCGGCGTGTTGCATGCTGTGTAAATATGAATTTTGTTTATTTCAGTAATTATTGTTTATCAGATAACACGAAAAAAAAAATTGATTACATTCTTCATATTGATATTTGGATTGTGTTTATTCAGGCTTCAGTGAACTCCGCGCTTCGTCGGATTTGATCCCTTGTAACCATTTTTGAAGCTTTGTTTTTGTTTTTTTTGACATTTATTCTGAGGTGTTCGATTAGCTTTCGTCCGATCGGTGGCCTTGGATTGGTGTATTTTGTTCTTGTTGTTGTTATTCTTTTTTTTTTCACTTTCGTTTTCATCTTCTTCATTCTCTATTTTACTTGTTCTTTTCTTCAACCGTCGTCTTTTTTTTTTTTCTTTCTTCTTTGGTCTTCTTTTCTTTCTTTCTTTTCTTCTTCTCCTTCCTCTTTTTTTCTTACTTCTTCTCTTTTCTTCTTTTTTTCTTCTCCTTCTCTTCTTTTTATTCTTTTTTCTTCTCCCTCCTCTTCATCTTCATCTTGCCTCTTTCTTCTTTTTCTGTTTTTTTCTTCTTCCTCTTCGTCTGCCTTTCTTCAAATCGGCAAAATACCAGGGCTAAAGTCACGTAAACAATTCGGCGATATGTAAATAAAAAAAAAAACGAAAAAAAAAAAATAATGAATAAATAAGCGGAAATATACGGTAATTTTTTTTTTCTTGCCACTTCTTTCTTCTTCTCTCCTCTTCTCTCTCCTCCTCTCTCCCTCTCATCGTCATCTCTCTTCTCTCGTCTCTCTCTCTCGTCTCTCCTCTCTCCCTCTCGTCTCTCTCTCTACTTTTCTTTCTTCCCTTTTTTCTCTTTTTCTTCTCCTTTTTCTTCTTCTTTTTCTCTTTTCTTTTCCTAGTCTTTTTCTCTTTCTCTTTTTCTCTTCTCTTTTTTTCTCTCATCTTTTTTTTTCCCTCTTTTTTTCTCTTTTCTCCACTATTTTTTTCTCTTTCTCTTCTCTTTCTCTTTCCTATCTCTTCCTCTTCTCTTTTCTCTTTCTCTTTCTCGTTTCTCCCTCTTCTTCCCCCTCTTTCCTTTCTCCTTTCTCTTTCTCTTTCTCTTTCTCTTTCTCTTTCTCTTTCTCTTGTCTCTTTAGCAAGAGCCTGCTGCCGAAACTTTGCGGCGTGTTTGCAATGCTGTGTAAATATTGAATTATTGTTTTATTTCACGTATGTATTGTTTATGCAGAGTAACACGAAAAAAAAAAATGTGATTAGCAGTATCGGTTCATTATTGGATAGTTTGGTTGGGATTTTGTGTTTGATTTCGCTTCCAGGTGAACTCCGCTGCTTTCGTCGGATTTAGAATTTTGGTACCTTGTACATTTTTGAAGTTTTTTTTGATTTTTTTTTTTTTTTTACATTTATTCTGAGGTGGTTCGTTAAGCTTTCGTCCGATGGGGTGGTTGGAGGTTGGTGTGTTTTTTCTTTGTTGTATGTTATTCTTTTTTTTCACTTTCGTTTATTATCTTCCTCGTGCTCTTACTACTGCTTTATCGTTTTCTTAACTATCGATCTTCTTTTTTTCTTCTTCCTTCGTATCTTCGCTTTATCTTCTACCTCTCGTCTTTCCTTTTCTTTTTTTCTATTTCTTTTTTTTTTCTTCTTCATCTTCCTCTTCTCCTTTCTTTTTATCTTCCTCTTTCGTCTATTTTTTTCTTTCTTTTTTTTGTTCTGTTTCTTCCTCCTTCTTCTGCCCTTTCCTTTTCTCAAAATATCGGCATACCAAGGCTTAAAAGTCACGTAAACACATTCGGACGTATGTAACAAAAAAAAACTCGAAAAAAAAAAAAAATGAATAATAAACGGAAATATGACACGGTAATTTTTTTTCTTCACTTTCTCCGTGTCGTCGTCTCTTTCTCTCGTCTCGTCTGCCTTCTTTCTCCCTCTCTCTCTCTCGTGACTTGTTGTTTCCCTCTTTATCGTCTCTCATGAGTCGAATCTATCTCCGTCTCTCTCTCATCTCTCTCTCTCTCTCCCTTCATTCTTCTCTCTCTCTCTCTCTATCGTTCTATCTCTTTCTCTCCCCCTCATCCCAGCCTCTCTCAAGCTCTCCTCTCGTTCTCTCTTCGCCCTCTCTCCTGCACCGTCTCTCTCCCTCTCCCCTCAGTCTTTCATGTCCCATCTC